AAATGGTCCAAAAAAAAAAAAAAAAAAAAAGTCACAGTCGGGTACCTCAGCAGTCCGGTCCAACAGGCACCCAGCAAAAAGTCACATCTCAGCGGCAAAACTCACATCTCATAATGAAAAGTCATATTGAAGAGTCACATCCCACGAGTGCAAGGGCAGTCCCATAGGCAAGAGTCGTGTCTCAGAGGCAGGAGTCACAATCCACAGTCAAAACCATATGCTAACATCGACAAGTCGTGATGCAAAGGTCCAAGCAGCCGCAGACCTACGGAGATTCGGGAACGTTCCAGGCCTCGACATTCGAAAGCAGACAGGCCGTGGGGATGTGGTGCCGCAACCAGTCAGGTCCCAAGAAGCAGAGGCTGGCACGAGTTGAAGTGCAATCCAAGACTACAAAAGGACTGGTCAGCCTCCCATTCGGGCAGATTGTTCATTCGCATGAAGTGTGGAAGTGCTGGTGCACTTGTGTGCTATTGTAGAGTGCTGCGCTAAGAGAGAGGGAGAGAGAGATGAAGAGATTGCGCTGGCAGGGAGAGGGCAGCCATAGCTGCGCCAGTGCAGAGTGTTAGTAGTAGATTTTAGAGGGTTAGTAGACATATCAGTGGGTATATTCAGAGTAGATCCTTGAGTAGAGTTAGTGAGTGTGCACGCATGTAGGTAGAGAAGACACAGCGAGGGCATAGCTACGGAGAAGACCAGCCGTGAGGAGAAGAGATTCATAAGAGAGAAGAGCAGTGGGGAAGAGGTACTTGCCTGAGAGCTTATGATGGTCACTGGTTCTCTCTCGTACGCGCTGATAGCGCTGGTGACCCGAACTCTTATTGCTCGTGTAATTACGTATTGGAATGCATAAGCTGCGCTAATTGGTCTTCATCTCTCTGGTCTCCAGTGTGAAAAATTTGTGTGATCTCATACGTGCATGTGGTGTGAATATGTGCGCACAGCGCCGCTCACTGGTGTCGAACTAGGAGGTTCATTGCGAGAATCAACCTGTATGGAACCAGTATCATGACCATGAACCAGCATGGATGGACCAGCTGGATGAACCATCATGCATGGACCAGCAGGACGAACCAAGGGGGACCAGGAGCATGAAAGTGCAAGGAACCAGTATTATGACCAGGAGCATGCACCTGCACAGAACCAGTATTATGGCCAGGGCCCAGGAGCAGCATGAACCTAGACGGGACCAATATTGGGACCAGGAGCATGAACCAGCATGGACAAGTCGGATGAACCATCATGACCCAGCAGGAAGAACCAAGGCAGACCAGGAGCATGAACCTGCACGGAACCAGTATTATGACAGGGAGCAGCATGAACCTGCATGGAACCAGTATCATGACCAGGGGCATGAACCAGGATAGCTCAGCATAGACAAGCAGCGTGAACTCACATGAATCGGCATGGACCGCCAGGAGCCAGCGGGAACCAGCAGCATGAAGCACCATGATGAACCACAAGACAGGTCGTCATGACCAGGAACATGACCCTGGATGGAGCCAGTATTATGACCAGGAGAAAGCAACATGACCCAACACGAACGTGTCAACAGGATGAACAAGCACATTAACATGTATGGACGAGCAGCATGGAGCCGGAGTGGAACCAGCATGGAACCAGCAGCGTCAGACCAGGATGGAACCAGCATGGACCAGCAGATGGAACCAGAGTGAAACCAGCATGGAACCAGCATGGAACCAGCAGCATCAGACCAGGTTCAGAATGGAACCGTCATGGACCAGCGGATGGAACCAAAGAGGAACCAGTCTGGAACCAGAGTGGAACTAGCATGGAACCAGCATGGAACCAGGATGGAACCAGCATGGACCAGAAGCATGGAAACAGAATGGGCCAGGAGCGTGGAACCAAATGGAACTAGCATGGACCACCAATAAAGCACGGAACCAATATCAGGGAACCAGAAGGGAACCAGCATGGAACCAGCAGCAGCAGACCAGGATGGAACCAGCATGGACCAGCAGATGGAACCAGAGTGGAACCAGCATGGAGCCAGAGTGGAACCAGAGTGGAACCAGTGGAACCAGCATGGAACATGCATGGACCAGTAGCATGGAACCATAATGGGCCAGCAACATGGAACCAAAATGGAATTAGCATGGACCACCAATAGAGCACGGAATCAACTGCAGGGAATTAGAACGGAACCAGCATGGAACTAGAATGGAATCAGCAGCATCAGACCAGGATGGGACCAGCATGGACCAGCAGATGGAACCATAGGGGAACCAGTCTGGAACCAAAGTGGAACCAGCATGGAACCAGCATGGAACCAGCATGAAACCAGCATGGAACCAGGACGGAACCAGCATGGACCAGAAGCATGGAACCAGAATGGGCCAGCAGCGTGGAACCAAATGGAACTAGCGTGGACCACCAATAGCGCACGTAACCAACAGCAGGGAATCAGAAGGAAACAAGAAGGGAACCAGCAGCATCAGACCAGGATGGAACCAGCATGGACAGCAGATGGAAGGGCCAGCGCCATGGAACCAGCACCATGGAATCAAAATGGAACTAGCGTGGACCACCAATAGAGCACGGAACCCACAGCAGGGAGCCAGAAGGGGGCCAGCATGAATGTGGTTGATCAACAGACCAGGTTCATACGCAGCAAGCACAACGTAGATAAGCTAGCTGCAGATGACTAGCGCTCAAAATAGGTTGGCTTGATTTTTTGAGGCTGACAGACGATGCTGGGCC